CCCAGTGTAGCATAGAAGTGCGAAGTGAAAACCTGTGTTGCCACCGATCAGATTGAGAAACAGAAGGCTGACCACGCTTGGGTAGACCTCCTGGGTGCCCTCCTCCCCCAGGAAGGCTGCCACCCCTCTGATCCCAAGGTCACCATTCTCTTGCTTTTCTATGTAGTTTCACCACTTGGTAATGGACACTTCAACATGCACTTGCTTTTTTTTTTTTTTTTTTTTTTGGAAAAACTGACTGGCAAGCACAACCTCATGTATAAAGAAAGAGTCACAGGCCACTGTTAGCTAAGGGCTCGCAGAAGAAGAAAAGCTGAGCAGTCCCTGGCTATCATCTGCTGCCCCGCCCCCTGCCTCCATCTTGGGGAAATCAGCACCTAAAGGTAATGAGCGTGGGCACGTGTAGCACCCACCTGGCTGAGTGCTGGCCATGCAGAAGAAATATGGTCAGAGGGATTTGGGCTGCTCTCCAGTTTTGCCCCCAGTACCTCTGGCCCCCAGGTATAAGTCCATGCAGAACATCCCTGTGGGATGAAGTGAGTGTCCTCAGCTGATCTAGGCGCCAGGAACTAGAAGGGAAAATGAGAACTTCTCCGGCAAAGCATCAAACCAGATCTCTGCCAGAAAACGGGAGAGGCAGATAACCCAGGGAAGCGATCCAGACATCTACCTACTTAAACAGCTTTCAGCCAAAGCCTTGACACTGACCCCAGGCCCGGCCCGGCCCCAGCCCGTTCTACTTTGCCTCTCAGATCCATAGATTTTTGGGGCTCCTGAGCTTGAGTCTGAAGATTCTGCTGTAGAGGCCATGTTGCTTTTCAGCTTTCCCCTCTGCTGTCTTGGAACTCAGCTTCCTGGGGAATGTGTGGTTGGTTTTCCCTAGTCTATCTACCTTTTAGCTTCATAAATTATGGTGCTGTTATTTCCTATTCTATTTCTCTCTCTATCAAGGTGGAATTTTGTCCTTAAAAACAAAGCATAAACTCTTACTGTAGTTTTAATGGGGCTTTGGGAGGGAGTGGATTTAGATTAATGCATGAAATCTGCTGTCTAAATCCGGAAGTCTCTAAAGGAAATCCTGCCGCTCCCTTCCTTAGTTTCCCAAATGGGACAGTTAGTTGGATGGCTCCTTGGGAACCAGGGGCCTATTGGCAGTGCTTACTGTACCCAGCAAGGAGACGCTGAGCAAACCTGAGGAGAGGAGGAGGGAATGGAATGGCATGAACATGCATAAGCATAAAGGTTGTGTGTTGAACATTGCTCCGTAGTAAAGCATTTTTAATTTTTATGGTTAGGAGACTAGATTTTAGTGTAAGACCCAGATTCGGCTTCCAGCTATGCCACTTACTGTGTGACATTGAGCAAGTTGCTTTGCTTCTCTGAACCTTATTTTCATCATATATCAAAAGGGGATAATAATGGTACTCATCTGGGGTGGGCATTTGGCACAGTGGTTAAGGTGCCACTTGGGATATCCACATGCTCTGAGTTCCTTGGTTTGAGTCCCAGCTTCTCTACTTCCAATCTAGCTTTTTGTTAATGCATACCTTAGGAGGCAGCAAGTGATGGTTCATCTACATGAGAGACCCACAATGAGTTCCTTGCTCCTGGATTTGGCCTGACTCAGGCTTGGCTGTTGCAGACATTTGGGGAATGAACCACTGGATGGAAGCCCTTCCCCCTCTTATAAACAAACAAACAAACTAACTAAAATGATTCCCATTTTTCAGGCTTTCCAGAAGGACTAAATGAGACAAAAAAAAAAAAAAAAACCTGTACAGTGGCTGGCATATTGTCTGAGGATATTCCAAAAAGTTCATAGAAAAACAGAATTAAAATATAACTTTATTTTGGTGCAAAATTTATCTATGTATGGATTTTTCATAATACACCTTTTCCACGAACTCTTTGAAGACCCCTTGTATGTGTTCAGTATCATTATCACCATCCTCTTCATGAGACAATTAGAACTTTCTGGAAAGTGTCAGAGCACCTAGTGCCACAGGCCTCTCCCAGAACAAGGAATGGTACCCATACATTTCAAAGTGGGGCATGAATGTCTTTTTTTTTTTTTTGACAGGCAGAGTGGACAGTGAGAGAGAGAGAGAGACAGAGAGAAAGGTCCTCCTTTTTTGCATTGGTTCACCCCCCAATGGCCGCTGCGGCTGGCGCGCTGCGGCCGGCGCACCACGCTGATCCAAAGGCAGGAGCCAGGTGCTTCTCCTGGTCTCCCATGCAGGTGCAGGACCCAAGCACCTGGGCCATCCTCCACTGTACTCCGGGGCTACAGTGGAACTGGACTGGAAGAGGAGCAACCGGGACAGAATCCGGCGCCCCGATCGGGACTAGAACCTGGTGTGCCGGCGCCGCAAGGCAGAGGATTAGCCTACTGAGCCGCAGCGCCTGCCATGAGTGTCTTTTTTTTTTTTTTTAAGATTCTATTTATTTATTTGACAGGCCTTTGACCCAGCTCTTGATGCGCCCCAGTAGCAGTCCCGTTGACCTCACCTTGCTACCTGATGATTCCCAGTGGCCTGTCTTCTGTTACTGAAAATGGGCACAGCATAGATCACTGTGAAAGTGTCCCACAGAAGCTACGCAGTTAGTCCAGAGGGAATTTCCTTCACTTATTTCACTTTGTAATGGGGGGGGGGGGAGTCGGGTCTCATTGATCTGTGAAGTGCCTGCTCCCATCCTGCTCCACGTGAATGAGTGGCTCCAGGCCCACTCCTGCTTTGCTGCTGAAATAGAACTGCCCACGCTGTTAGGGCAGCTTCCGCCGCTGGTCATTTCCATGTGCCATCTGCAGTTTGTTCTGCCTCATGGGCTACTGAGGTACAGCAAGTTGATGCGAATGCTGGGGGGGGGGGGGTGTGCTTCTTGACCCATCACTAATATCCTACAAATCACACAAAGCTACCAGGGGCTCCTGGGCAAAAGCTTAAAGCACTTCCATTCTCTGCATATAAGCCCCATTCATTGCTTGTAGAATGAGTCGTCCTGGAGCAGGCAAGTCATCAGATCTCAACTAATATTTGCATATTGGGGTTTTGTGAAACTCCAATGTGGCTGTAAAATAGTGTTTAAAATTATCCAGGAGCTGGTACGCAGGCCTGAAAAAAATCGTCATTTGTAGAAACACATTTCCGCTCATGTCCCAGATGGCCTCACTCCAAGGACAAGGCAGAGCTTGATGAAGTGAAGCTGCAGCTGACCAGTGAGCTTAGCTCGGTACCAAGAAACTGCCCCAGGAGAAGGGCCCTGAGCCTTCCAGAGGTCAGATACATGCCCTCCATGCCCTCCGATGGCAAGGACAGTCTTCTGCACAGGAACACAGAGTTCACCTGCTGAAGTATTTCCCACTGTTTGGGGGGTTTGTTTCTGGTTTTCTTCTGGATGTTTTTGGCAGGCGTGTTTCCTCTCTAGTCTCCAGGTAGTTAGGTTGTCTTCCTACTCCCATTTTTAAATGTTTATAATTTGTCCTTAAAAGTCTTCAACCGGCCTCCCCACCACCACCCCACCTTGTAAAACCTTGCCTGTACTTTTCTGAATGGAATGTTTCAACAGTTTCTACATTCCCAAACTTCTTTTCTATATGGTAAAGTGATGGCTGAACACATGCACACATACACACCATGACAAACTACAAGTGTGCCTGGGAATGAGACAAATCTGGGTTTGTATTTTGCTTTGCTACTAATTAGCTGTGTGACTTTGGGCAACTTAAACTCTCTGGGCCTTAGCATCCTCATCTGTAAAATAAGGAATCAATAATAGCCCCTGCCTCAGACGTGGCTCTTTTGAAGAGCTGACTGAGACCAGATATTTAAAGCACCTGAGTTAGTACCTGGAGCATAGGAAATGGTCAATAAACGCTATGGCAGCCTTTACTGTTATTTGAAATAACGCATCTGACTATCACTGAACTAGCATCAGAAGGCGCCTAGTCAGGGCTTCTCGCAGTGAATTGAGTTGGATCCCACTTGGTAGCTTAGACTGGGTGATAAATAGTTGCCTTCCCACCGCTGGGATGGCTGATAGCAGACACAGATGAACACTTACACTCAGGGACTGATACATGAGAGCAGAAACATGGCTTCAGGTAAGAAGACGAGGAACCCCACATCCCCATCCCCTGGTCCTCTGGACACCGCTGGTGCCTGGCGCACAGTGTACTCATTAGGATTTCATTTTTGAAGCTGTTGCTTACATGGATGTCAACATGGGGGACTTTTAGTTGCCTTTAGCTGGAAGAATCGGGTTATAATGTGCAATTCTGGTGAAATCCCTGGCTTCTACAGCATGATGGAAAGGGAAGGTCCCACTCACACACAAGTACCCAAACTTTGGGACCCTGAAGAGGTGGAGTGTAGTGAAGGCTTGCGGTTCAGGACTTGGTCTTTGTGAGATTTACACTTGACCATTTGGTTTTGCACCCATCATTTGGTTTTGCAGATTCCTCAGCATGTCTACATACATATGCCTACAAAGCAGTTTAGTGTTTTGTGTTCTGCTCCGTGGGGACTGGGGGAAGGCAGGTAAAGGGGCTGGGAGGGGGAAGGGAGGAAAGGATTAGGATTGGTCAAGGTTATTGCCAATGAACCAGCTGGCTGTCTTAGGTTGCTCCAATTTTCCACAAGACAGTGATTGCTCATGGCAGGGGATTCTTCACATAAGATCCATGGGTGGGTATTCAGTGGTCCAGAAATCCCCCTAAAATTATATGTTAGATGTCGGTGGGCTGGGAAGGGGAAGACACTGTAAGTGATTTTTTTTTTTTTTTGGTGGAGAGAGACTATAGCTTTTAACTGATTCTCAGAGGAATCTGTGACCCAAGACATGCTGAGACCGCAAGGCTGTTTGGTTCTGTTTTCCCAAACCAGTTGGTGTGTATAACCACAATACCCAAAGGACCCAGCTAGGCGGTAGGGCAGTGACAAGATCAGTCAGAAGCATTTGGTGGCCAAGCAGCTGATGGATTGTTCAATCGGTTGTTGTAGACTCATGTAGACAAAGCCTGCAAGCTTGGGGAAGCCAGGCCCCCCCAGGTCAGCCTCGGGCGACAGCCCCCATCCTGCCAGGCCCTGGGGAGTGAGTCCTTCCTGCCCGGCAGCTCCTTTGCTCATGAGCTGGCCCGAGTCACCTCGTACAGCACCTCAGAGGCAGCGCCCTGGGGCAGCTGGGATCCGAAGCCCTGGAGGCAGGTGCCTGCTCCACTACTGCCTAGCTGCGAAGCTGCAGGTAAGTCACTTCCCCCTGAGCCTCGCTTTCTTCATCTGTCAACTGGGGCACAGTCCCCTGCTCAGCCTATCCGCCTGCCTCACAGAGTTGTTGGGAGGAACATAGGAGGTGACAGCTCCAAAGGAGGCCCTTTGCAGCCCTCAAAGCTCTGTATGCCTCTGAGGGGTTTCTATTGCTTTCTCACCCTGCTTGTTCTCTCCTCTCTCCCGGGCAATCTTTCAAAAGGGACAGCTATGTGAGCAAGTGCTCCAGGTGCCTCAGACTCACTTCTGGGGAAACAAGAGGGGGCTTGCCCAGGGTGCGATTGCTCTCTCCCTCTGCCATATGCCTCCCAGCACCCCATGCCCATACCTGCCTGTACGGCCAGATGGGGAGCCCGAGGAGGACAGAGTCTGAGTTTCTGCACTGCTGGGTCCCCTCCCTGTCCACCCCAGTGGCTGTCTGCTTGATACCTAGTTCATGCTCAGGAACTGCCTCCCCAGCCAGTGACCTGCCATGGATTCTGCACCCCACGCTGTTCTTTGGCCCCACCCAAGACTCCCACAGTCTTATCGGAAATTGAATTGCCACACTGGAGGATTGGCAATCCGGGAAGAGAAGGCAGAAGGAGTACAAGGCAAGTCTGTCCAAGATGCCTGTGAGTTTGGATCGGGCTCTAGATCTTACAGTCTGGGAGCAATGGCTTGACCTGCCCCCAGAGAGTTCCATTAGTGGTCGAGACGGTAGACATTAGCCAGAGTGAGCCTTTCAGAGAATTCCACTTGGACCATGCAGCGGTTGTTCTGGTGCATGAAATATCAGTGTGCGCAGAATGCCTGCCCTATCTGCCGGGAAAACTGGAGAAGTGAGCATTTTCTAAGTGATAGTGATCAGAAGACGGTCATCAAGCTGGAAAGGCCTCCCAGGATTATGGCCTTTAATGGAAATTCTGCTTTGGTACGTACTGCCTGCTTCTCTCTGTGCTGCTTGCTCTGGCCTGGAAGAACAAGCAGTGCTTTCTGCCCAAGGGCTATTGATTTTGCTCTCTCTCTCTCTCTCTCTCTCTCACAATCCCAGCACCTCTCCGCTGCGCGCTCTGCAGCCGAAACCAGAGAAATCGTGTCCAGCACAATGCTGCCAGGGAAACAGAATTAGCCAAACAGACAGAGACGGCGTCCACACAGGATGTCGCTGTTTCCATCCTGGTCTGCCCTGCCCCGCCCTGTCCTCGGAAACCACAAATGAGAGGATCCCAGCTTGCTGGCCTCGAGAGTGCCTCCCCGTTCCCACCTACCTCATTAGCCAACACCTTTCACCCAGCAGTGAAGGGCAGGTCAGAGGTGCAGGGTGGGGGCACAGCTTTTGTGAGAACCCTGGACATCGGGCCCCCTGGGGAGCTTTGAGGGACAGGTCACTAAGTGCTCCCTCTGGGCACAGCCACCTTGTCAGGCAGCCATGAGCCAGTGTGAAACAGAGGATGCAGGCACCGCAGGGCACAAAGAAAGACATTTGTTTCCTCTGCCTGGGGATCATTCCCAGCATCTAAACCAAGCCCTTCCGGGACTGCTTGCCCTGGCACCACAAGGCCTAGGAGGAGTCAGAATAGAGCTTGCACAGTCAAAAGTCAAGGTCTCTGCCATGGCATTTATTTTGTGAAGCCTCCATGACAGCTTCACACTGATTCAAACCTAAAGCCAGCACCTGTTTCCATAGTAGAAGCCCCCAACTCCTGCACCAGGGCTCCAGAGGTGCAGGAAAAGACTCAGGCAGCCAACGTTGCCCAGGTCCGGCCTAACATCAAGAGTGGCAGGGCAGGTTCCACTCCCCCCTCGCGGCCCCAGCCCTGGCTCGAGGTTTCTGCCCGTGCCTGCCCTCTTGCCATCCCTTCCGTCTTCAGAACGTGTTCTTCCTTCATTTATTTGTTTGTGGTTGTCAGTCTCTGTGTCTACTATAAGTTCCGGGACAGTACAGACACACAGTGGACCAGGCTCTGTCCCAATTATTGTCACATTCATGACAAAGATTTGTCAACTACTCAACAGGGGCGGTGAGTGGGCTGCCACGTAGGCCCAATCTTCCCACTAGCTCCTTGGGCAGGTAGGGTCCAGAGCCCAGGTCCCCTCTGGCTGCACGCTAGGCAGTCCGCAAGGAAGAGAAGTGGTGTGATGCACATTTCCTAGTTTGGCCTCCTCTGCAGGCATTCTGGAGAAACTGAGTCCCAGGCTCTGAGAGTGAGTGCAAACCTAGGAAACAACTGCAACTCTCCTGCCAGTTACTGTAGGAAACCTTGTAGTTTTGGAAGGCCACTTAGGGAGTTTCGCCGAAGAGCATCAGCCCCTCGCGGGCTGGGCTTCTGGCAGCAGTGTCCACACTGCCTCCATCTATGGGCCGTAGCTACCCAGAGCCTGTAGGTTTCAGGAGCTTCAAACCAATGGCATGGGAACCCCCAGAATTCCCATCTTGATTTTATGGTGGTCTCCACATGGTACGCCATCCTCCTATCATTTCATTTCAAAGGATAAGTCAGAAGAATGGGTGAGACGTTCCCAAATCTGGCTTCCAAAATCTAGCTTCCAAAATCTATAAAAGAAGGTGATTTTCCCTGCGGAGGAATAAACAAACCCAATCTGGAGCTCACTAAGCTTTGGGACAGACATGCAGCCTGTGCTGCATGACAGGCTGGCCCTGGATGAGGTATCCCTATCCAGCGGGAAAGAAGGCAGGAGTTCCTTGGTGGAGGGCAGGGGGATAATCCCCCCACTGTCCTCTCTCTCCCTCTCTCCCTCTCTCCCTCTCTCCCTCTCTCTCCCTCTCTCCCTCTCTCCCTCTCCCTCTTTCCCTCTCTCCCTCTCCCTCTCCCTCTCCCTCTCTCTCTCCCTCTCCTTCTCCCTCTCTCCCTCTCTGCCTCTCTCCCTCTCTCCTCCCTGCTCCTCGACAAACTTTATGCAAGTGAGGCTTTGGATGCATCCCCCGCTGTCTTGCAGAGGCTGTTTCCTTTGAGTCTCCTTCCCACTACAGTGCTGTCCTCCAGGGACTCATGGGCAGAGTCACTTCAGTCTGCAGCAGGCTCAGCCTTTTGTGGGCATCAGTCTGAGCCCAGCTAATCAGCGGCCCTCTGCCTCTGCCCGGTTTCAGAGTCTGTGCCTGATGAATGGTTGCATCAGTCATGAGGTTCTTCCCCCTCCACCCTTATGAGGGGACAGCATGCAGGTGATTGCATGGGGTGGACAGGAGACCTCACCATGTGGTGGCTGAGGGTGAAGCTGATGTGACCTGGGCCCTGCACTGGGCTCTGCTGTGCCTGCGGGTCTTGGTGGGATTTGGCAGGCCAGTCCTTTGGCCTCTCTCCTGCCCAACACACAGGATGAGGCACTGGCCCTTCCGTGAGCCCCCAGACGGGCTGGGGCTTCCTAGTGTCCTGAGCAGCAGCATGATGCTTCCAGAAAGCCAGCTCTGGAAGCTCAGAAAGGGGTCTGCTGGGTTTCCATGCGGGGTGAGACCCATCTGTGAAAGTGGCCCCTGGGCTGAGTGGGGCCGGCGGTAGGCGATGTGACAGAACAGCCAGGGCATTGGTCTTCTGTGAGGCTTCCGTTGGCCCCAGCAGTGCACTCACCATGGTGGCCACCACGGGGGACGCACACCTGGGCTCCGCGAGGCCCCACCTGTCAGGGCTGCTCATCGGTGTCACCTGGCACAATAGGAGCCAGTGCTGTGGCAATTGCAGTCCTAGAAAATTGAGTCATCTGATGACCTCTTCCATAAGTTTGCTTCTGAAAACACCCCCCCATCCCCGGGCCTGGACCCTCCTTTACAACAGGGCAAGAGGCAAGTGTCCTGTCACTAAGCAGAAACTTTCAGCCACAGCTTCCTCCTGGTCACCGAAACCATTTGTCATTTCCTGTTTTCTCCACTCTCCACCAATTCGAATTGTCAGTGTCAAAAGGCAACAACTGTTTTCTCCAGGCTTATCTTGGGAGCGCACTGATTGAGAACAAAGGATGGGAGCCTCCTCCGCCTGCAAAACAAAGGAAGCAGCCTCCTCAGGAGGCCGGAGAGACTGCCCTGGCTTGTCTGCCAGGGACAACCGGACCGGCTGCATGCAGAGGACCGGCAGTGCCCCTGGACACCCCTGTGGGGCGAAGGGCCCATGAAGGGTCCTGGCTGGCTGGCTGGCTGTCCCCCCCCCCGCCCCGCCCCGGGGATCCTGCAGAGCTGGCCACCAGCGCCACAGGCTGGGTGTCAAGGGCAATGTTTGGCCTTGGCAGTCTGCACAGTGATGCCACTGACCAGATTCTCCCTTAAGCTCTGGATGCTCTGGAATGAACGTTTCCTTGGATGAAGACTTCACCGCACCCCTCAGGCTCTGTAACCCTGCAGTGGCTGCAAAGCGCTCTCTTCATCTAGCCAGGGCTACTCAGTCCCTCCCCCTCTGAACAGTGCCTTGGCCCAGCCTTTCCTTTTGTCTTCCAGGCCCCTGCGTGGACTTTCTCTGGACCTCCTTCCCCTTGCACTTCTCTGGCCTCCCCAGCTTGTTCTTTGGTCACACTCTCTAGCCTCCATCTGTCTCTGGTACCCACCACCACAAAACTGTGTTCTTTGATGACACTAATGAGACAGCCCATGAGCATGGAGTTGGGGTCAGTACAGACCTCGCCAGCCACACAAGAACTGGTCCCAGTCCCCAGAAGTGACCAAGCCCTGGATCTGCCATGAGGAGGCATTGCACTTCCTAGCCATGTCACTTTGGGCAAGTTGTTTAATCACTTGGAGCAGCACATGTCACACCAGTAAGCTGGGCACTGTAGATCTGCTGCCCTCATGTCCTCGGGCTGGGGTAAAGGCTCAAGGGAAAGGACAGAGGTGAAAGGGCTGCCTTCAGATACGGTCCCCACGCTGAGCATCTCAGAGCTGGATGCTGTGACCTTGGGCAGTAATGTGACTCCTGTGCTTCTCTTGAGAGATGATGCGAAGTAACGGGCTCAAAATGCTTGGGACACTGAGCACCCAGTCAGTGCTTAGGAAGGAAGAGGGCAGCTCCGTGGGTCAGCAGAGAAATGCCCTGCACCCGCACTATTCACACACCAGCAAGAGGCAGGAGCTACAACAGGAAGCAGGCTAAGAGCAGCATGGATGAAAGAGCAAGCCTCAGCCTGGTAAACTGCTTCTGGTGCAGTCTCCGTGGTGCCAGTGTTTGTCCTCTCTGCCGTGGCAGGAACTGAGGCCAGGAACTGCTGCCAGGCCTCAGAGCTGGGCGTGCTCCCAAACGCTGGCCCTCCTGCCGCCCCTCCCACGCCAGCCCGGGGAGCCCTTTGCTGGAGACCATGGCACAGGCAGCCCACGCTGTACGGTTAAGTCTGGCCATCTAGAGACACAAGCCAGAGCTGCCTCGGTGCTTGGCACACTGGCAAGCAGGCTTCTTGAGAAGGGGTGAGAGATGGCAACAGGTGCACAGAGGGGCAGTGCTGCTCCAGCAATGTTGTGTGAGGCTTTGAGCTCTGGGCTGGGGGTCAGAGCTCCGTCCCAGTGGCAGCCTGGCACAGTTGGCAGAAGATCTCGGAGTGAGTCTCATTCTCTGGGCATTGGGACTTTCACGTGACTCTCCCCCTGGCTATGTTCTTTCCCTTTGCCCCACGAGATTGACACTGTGCCATCTGACTTCACTCCTCCCCCCTCACCCCCAGACCAAGCAGCCAGCTGTGCAACGGAGACAGGAAGCTCCTTCCAGCTGCCCATGCTGTAAGCCAGCCAGGAGAAGGAGGGAGAGTTGGCTGTCAGTGCATGTTTGGCTACTGCTGATGTCAGGGCATCCACCTGACCTTGTGATCCTCCAGCCATTCAGGCCAGGACCACCAGCACAAGCCACAGCAGCTCCGATCCCCGGATGGTTCGCCATGCTTTGTGTACTCCCATTACTTCCCTCCCTCTAAACAGCCAGTTCATCTGGCTCTCCCTGAGACTGTCAGGCTCCGTGCTCCAGTCAGCACCATGGATATGGTCTGGTCAGGGCGGGATAGCGTAGGACTGTCACCTCCCTCCTTCTACACACTCTGCTTCTCTTAATGCAGCCTAATGTGACATTTGTTCTTCTGGTGCCCACATCTCACTGCTGACGCATCCTGCGCAGTTGGACATCCAAAATGCCTAAATCTTTTTTTTTTCTATGTGCTCGTGCTACTAAGCTCTGTCTCTCCTGCCCCATTCTATGCTGTTGCAGTTGGTTTTTTTTTTTTAACCCAGGTGCGGAAGCCTACTTTTATTTATACCTTTGGAATTTTGCTCAGGAGGGTGGGGCATGCATGCGAGTGTGTGTTGATGTGTTCACTCATGCTTCCTGCTACACCAAAGCCAAGTCCTAGGTCCCCACACAGTGATCTCGAGCTAATATGTCTTGGTAGTTGTAATCTAATGTGTCCTTTTCATCTTCTGTTTAGCAAGAGAAACAGAGATCAGGTCTTATGGCAATGACCCCTGAACAGCAAAGTGCATATATCGCCCAACAGATGAGTCAATTTCAAGGTAAGCAGTCAAGGTCAATGTTCCCAAAGTGGCCAGCAAGGGGATATATACATGGGGATGAGATGAGAATTCATTTTAGAATAAGGTGTTGTCTGTGTTTCTGAAAGCATCAAGGGAGAGGGCAAGATGTTAAAGCCAGCTAAATAGTACTCCAGTTGATTCTCATATTGAAAATAGTTCATCCAACTCTAAGAGCAGGATTCCAAATGAGGGCCAGAGCACTGAACTGCATTGCACTGCCTCAGGCCCCTTGAAGCAGCTTCCCTCAGCGGGAGGGGGCAAAGCCCCTGGGACCTGGATTAGAATCACCTGCGGGCTGCCACACCCCAGGATTCCGATCCTGCCCTTCCCCTCCAGCACACATGCACACATTCACGCAGGGCTCTGGTGACCGTCCGCCGCTAATGGGTTCCATACTATGAGGATGGTGTTGGGAGAGGAAAGGGCACTGGGGAGGCTCCACCTGGAAGAGTCTGGGTCAGGGACTATAAGGGTCCCCATACAGCCATGGCAGCTCTGAATACCAGCCACATTGATTGGTCATGGATATAGCAGCCAAGGGGAGATGCTGGACGTGTTCCCTCGCTATTGGAGCTTCCAAGCTAGCCAGAGGGCCAGGAGTTAAGCAATCTTTCTAAGGCAGTGGGGTGAGACAGCAGCTACCTCCCAGGCTCTCTTGGGAGTGCTCAGCAATTGCTTCCTTGCCCTCAGACAGGCGATCAGCATCATCACTTTAGGGCCATGCTGCCTCCACACCATTGCTCCTCCATTCTCAGGAGCTTTGGGCCTGACCCCAGCAAGTCTGTGTCCCACCTGCCCATGCTGGAGTGGCACATTGGGGACACTTCAACTGCAAGGACAAACCAGACAGGTTTTGGGGACAACAGTGGTCTCCAGGGGTTAGCTTGATGAAGCTCGATTCAAGCCAGTTGAAAAACTTCAATCTGCCATGATAATCAAAGAACCTAGGCACTATCACAAGAGGAAAACACTTACTCATTGTTTGGAGGACAGACACTAGGCTGGATCAGACTACACTGTCTCCAGCCAGACCTTGGGCAAAACACCTGATTGCAATGTGCCTCAGTTTGCACTCCCACAAGAGCACCAGGAGATAACAGTCACAGTGAGCTGTCTTGCAGATGACAGGAAACCCACCGCTGACATTAGGCACCTGGAATCCCACCTTCCAGCCTCTACTCTGGCACTCCAGCTCCAGGTGCTCCAGAACTCAGGCTATCAACATGGTCTGAGCCCCAGATCTGGGTCTTGCAACCCCTGAACTCGACTGTGGGGAGGACAGAGGAGGAGAGGACGCCACTCTCTCCCCCTTGCTCTCCCACACTGGCTGTATCACCAGCAAAGAAGCTGAGGCCCCCTCTCTAGACCCGGATACCAAGCTTCTTCCCCACCCCAGCCTGCCCAAGCCCTGCTCCATCCATCCTTTGAGAAAACATGCACTGCCTGTCCAGGAGCGGCCAGCTCCAAGCCCTGTGTACAGAGCACCAAGTATGAAAGCAGACACAGCCCTGGCCTCGTGCAGCTTCCAGCCTACTGGAAAAGGTGCACAGATCAGCAGGCACTGAAGTCCAGGGAGACCTGCTCTTGGCAAGGGGGCTGTGAGCACAGACTGGGGAGCCTGGAGAGTTTCCCAAAAGATCTGTAGTCCAGGCTGAGGGCAGAGAAAGCACGGGAGCTGAGAGGAGTTGGGGGTGGGGGACGGGGGTGGTACTCAATAGGGAGCCTAAGGCGGGAGATGAGAGGAGGTCCTTGACCACAGCCCAAGTTGAGGATGTCCTGGGAACTGATGCCCACTTCTCTCTTTCTATAGCCGTCCAAGAACAAGTCACCTCCAAGCGTAGCCGAACCAAGGCAAGCCCCACACCTAGCCAGCACATGATGCCATCCAATGTGACTCCAGGAATTGGACCACCCACCAGGCGCCTGAGCCCTGACGGCATGGGCGTAATCTCAGCCACTTCGGAGAAAGAGCAAAAGATTGTCAGTTCCAGCCCCCAGTTTCCCATACCCTCACGCCTAGGCCAGAACCCCCTGGATAGTCTTGGCTCTGTCTGCCAGTGTGCACAAAGTCCCAAGGCCACCCCTCCAGGAGTGCCACTACCCAGGTTCTGTCCTGGCCCACTGGGCAGCCAGACCCTGGGTCCCCACCAGCTCAGACAGCCCAGTGTACCCAAAATGCCCACTGTGTTCAACAACGTTTCATGGGTGGCGGCAGCAGCAGCAGCTGTGACCACGGCAGTTTCAGGGGAACCAGCCCAGAGCCAAGTAGACAACAGCATTCAGCAGCAGTTTGGAAGCAACTCGATCTTCGCCAAGGCACCCACGAGAATGTCCCCACTGGCCCCCAGGTTTCCATCACAGCAGGCAATTGTACCCCCCAATCAGATGGTCCTGGAAGGCAGGCCCGGCCAAAAGGTGGGTGCTGCCCTGGCCAACCCCAGCCTCAGCCTGCTGGGAAACCAGAGCCTCAGGCAGAGCCCCATGCAGGGGCCCGTGCCTGTGCTGAACGCCACCACGTCCCTCCAACAGGACACCGCCAGCTCTGGTCCCGCAAGTCCCATACAGGGCATTGAGCCACCAAGATACATGGCCACTGCTGCCGCCACCGCCACCGCCACCGCCGCTGCCTCCGTCATCACCACCAGCCAATCCCCTGGTCCGCTCAACAGAAAGGGTGCCCACCCTGAGCTGCCCCTGGAGGACTTGTTGCCCCCAGTCAATGATCTGATGTCGCCACCTGACTGCAGTGAGGTAGATTTCATTGAAGCTCTACTGAAAGGCTCCAGCGTGAGCCCGGAGGAAGACTGGGTGTGCAATTTAAGGCTGATTGATGACATTTTGGAACAGCGTGCCGCTTCCCAAAATGCTGCAGCCCAGAGTGCCAGCCGAGTCCCCCAGGATGCTAGGGGGCTTTAGATCAGAGCAGGGTGCCCCTAGAAACCCTCATGTTGACATCAGTCTAGGGAATGGTGTCGATCACAACCAGGTCACAAACGGTCCCGGACAGCCACATGTGTCCGTCCACTCATTCCAACTGGAGTGCCGTCGGCCCATGCCCATCCCCTCTCTACCCATGACAGAATGGAACGCTGGTGATTTTTGAAGCTATTTGTACATATTTGAAAATTTTGTAAATGGTTTTCCTAAACGTTAATGACAGAAGTGTTTATACTTCATTTTGTGACTTTGTAAATAAAGTGGCGGCTTTTGTTTCCGTAGAGTTGTGTTTATTATGCATTGTTTTGTGTTGATTATACATTGTTACAGAATGCAGACTGTGTTGTTTGCACCAGTGATACCTTGTTAAGCCAGGTGGCCGAGTCGCTTATGGTTTTGATGCAATGACAGATACGGATGTGACCAAGGGGTGTTGTGCCAACTGCCAAATAGAAAACCATTTGGCCATTTGTTTCCATTGTCACTAAAAATTCTATCGCCTGGTGTGATTCCTACTCTCCTTTGCAAACCTTCCAGTCCTCTAGCTCTTTCCTTATGAGCCTCTGCAGAAGCTGCTGTGGCACTCAGTGCCCTCCCGAGACACTGCCTGGAGGCTGCCAGAGCTCTTTAGAAGAAGGGAGAGGGGCAGCGATGGCGCCTGAGCTGAGCACCCGTGTGATCGAGTCACCTGGTGGAAGGAGTGGCCTCCCTTTGTCAGCAGAGGGAGAGAGAGCCTGCCCCAGCTTTGCACATGTCCAGTGTCACCCCTACAGGGGAAAAGGAGCTAGTCCTGCTTTAGTCTTTCAGTGCTGGTGTTGTTGTAAGGCTCTGTGATTTGGGGGTGGGGGAAAGTCTGTAAACATTAATAGTTGATTTGGGGTTTGTCTTCAATGGTTTCTATCCGCAAAGATCGTCATGTATATTTAAGTGTCTGTTCTAGAAAACCCATACCCACTGTCCTGTAAACTTTTCTCAGTGTCCAGACTCTGTGTAATCCCATCTTAATTGCCACCTCGTATTTCGCCTCTACATTTGAAATCTACTGTTTCCAGCCAGTGCGTTTCTTCTTCATTCTGTAATAAACAGCCAGGAGAAAATGCCTGTATGTTTTCATTTTTCCAGGGAGCACTCAGTCCTTCCAAACTCGAGTCAGCTCTCTTGCTGCCTTTGGTTCCTTCACAGGCTGCTTAATGTCTTGTGCAGCAGAGAGATGCTGCACCTGGGAGGGAGGGGGACCGAGTGTACATAGCGCGTGCTACAGTGATTACTGTCGCATCACAGAGACAGGACAGTGGGGATGGGAGCCCCTCGGGGCAGGGACATGTGGGACTGCACCACCATCCTCTTGCTCTTAACAGTGACCAGACTTGCCTTTCTTCAGCTAGACCCTGCTACCCTTGAATATGGAGTGAGAGGGGCTACAGTTAGAATAACTTTGTCAACTTGATTATCTGCACTTGGCTCTCGAAATCAGGGGAGACCATGCAATCAGCAAACCATAAGACAGCCATGCAAGCTTAAAGTATGGGGCTCCTGCAGTTCCAGTGATAGAGGTTCCATGGAGGAGCAGAGGAATGACCTACCCCTCTGTTCACAAGACAGACACAAGACCCTGGTTATCTCGCCAGGCACCTGAGCACACCCACTGCAGGGCTTGTTTCTAAGAAAGGGATAAGCATCTGGGGTTTGTCTTTAATGGTTGTGCTCATTTTGAGCTTTGGGTTCAGAAGAGCTCAGCAGCCCCGGGTGTGGTGGAGCAGGGGGAAGGAATACCCAGTATGCTAGTGGCCAGGGAGGTACTGCCCCGCCCCCTCCTGCAGAGCCCCAGCCCGGTGCTTCCACCCAACCCCAGTGGAGTGAAAGGGCAGCCCCTCCCCCACCATTTGCTGCCCACAGCTCTGCTGTAGGTGATGAGTTCCTCTTCTAACTGCACAAAACTAATAAGGGATGTGCACCTCCCCCTTAGTGCATGTCCATCAACAAGAAAGTGCCTGCTACAGAGCTTCTAACTGAATATGGACTCCTTGGAGGGGCCCCTAATAAGACGGTGGGGACGTGTGTCTCACCTGTGAGGTGGCCAGGATCTCTGGAGTACTTGGGTGGGCCTGTTCTGTGCTCCTCTTCATGGGCACAGGGGCACCACGAAGGGATTGAGCACCAGGGGGCCAGTTTTGCCTTCCCTGACTCTGCCTTGGGCCCCGCCCCCAGCCCCAGCCCAGTGGCTATTGCTTAGAACTTACCATCTAAGTTTCTGCCACCTGGTCCCAGCCTGGCCTCACCACCCCTCAGCGGAGCACCGCCCACATTCCTCCCCGCATGCTCGCCTCCAGCCGAGCCTTCTCAGAAGCGTGCCTTCCAACAGTCCGCCTCCCTTTATCCTCTCCTGGGGGTGGTGGTGGGGGATTCCTCGAAGGGGCTTCAGGCAGGCCACGTTAAGAAAGACCCCTCAACCCCACACCCCTCCCACTCACCACTCAACCCAGAGTAGTGTGGTTCTAGTGTCAGCTCCTTCCTCCTAAGCACTTGGGTCGAACTAGTGACGTCCTCCTGCCCACGGGACCAGTGAAAGTTTTTCAGTCCTCAACCAACTTGCCCCTTCAGCAGCACTAGACTCTGCCTCCTCCCAAAAACCTGCCAGCCTGTGCCTTCCGTACAGCCCCAGGATGCTCCATCTCCTCTCCATCTCCAGCTCCTCTCCCATCTGAAGTCATCCACTCACTTCTGCCCCTCCACAAGGAGTTGTTGCTCCTGCCAGGACTGTCTGTCCCTTGGCTAGAACTTCTTCATGCTCTCTCCATCTTCCGGCTTCTTCCCTAGGCAAACAGCTTCATGAGCCTGAATGCCAGCATCCCGGTCTCCCAGTGTCTCAACTGGGAATAGTGTGGTGTGTCTGGCCAGGGCCCCAACTTTTCACTCCCCGGGGAAATGCTCTTGGACTGGGCTCCAGGAGCCTGCAGCCTTCTAAGGCGCCTTTAAGGATGAAAGTGCCTGTGGGCTGCCCGATGCCCCCATGGAAGCCTTTACCCTCATCTTGTATCGCTAGCAGCTTTCTCTGTATGCCTGCAGGGACCTTCATCCTGGCTGCAAACTTTCCTCATGAGGCACTCAGTTGTCCATGGTTCCTGAGAAGCTTCAGCTAGAAGACCTGAAGGGAGAGAGAAAAGAACCCCAATTGCTGGGGTGGGGCTGCTTCTTCCACAACCCATCCCATCATGCTCCCACCAAGCCCTGAGATGAACCCTAGGTCAAATCACCACAAGTCTTCCAGGTCTCCCCACCCCCTCGCTATCTTACAGGCCTCAGGCTCCTTGGAGTCCCAGGATCAAGGTCTGTGGCTCAGGTACTATCTCTCGCTTGTCCTTCAGCCTGGAAATCCAGGGCATCAGGCTATGGACATGAGGTTTTGAAGAACCATATATGATTGGTTTCCCTACTGTGTGGCCATTCATTGAGTCACCCAACAGGCATGATCCCCAAGTTCATGGCGTCTACTGGGGTAGGGTGGGCACCTATCAGCATTATAACAGAGAAATAGGATGAGTAGCGGCAATATGCCTGTTGGGGGTGCAGAGGTGGGCAGCGGTTAGGCCAGTTAAAAACACAGCACATGGGGCTGGTGCTGTGGCGTAGTGGGTATAGCTGCCGCCTGCAGTGCTGGCATCCCATATGGATGCCAGTTCGAGTCCCAGCTGCTCCACTTCCCATCCAGCCCTCTGCTGTGGCCTGGGAAAACAGTGGAAGATGACCCAAGTCCTTGGGCCCCTGCACCCACGTGGGAGACCTCAAAGAAGCTCCTGGCTTTGGATTGGCACAGCCCCAGCTTTTGCAGCCAGCTGGGGAGTAAACCAGCAGATGGAAGATACCTCTCTCTCTCTCTCTCTCTCTCTCTCTCTCTGCCTCTCCTTCTCTCTGTGTGTAACTCTGACTTTCAAATAC